ATCTCCTTGTCCCTGCATTTCTACTTCTGACTCTTTTATATTCAGAAGGACATGGAAGGACACTGTTTCCAGAGAGCCCCTGCTGCCACTAGGTGTTCAGGATGGTGGAGGCCAAGGTACTATTCCAGATCCTTCTGCCCTGGGCTGCATTTGACAGCCTGTGGACATCAAGGTGTTTGTGCTGAAAGATTCCCAGACTTCCAAGGGATAGAAAATGAAAACACATCCATGGTAGAGGGTGGCAAGCAAGCTCAACGCAGGCTGGGAGAGTCAGACAGACAGGTGCACAGGTGTGCAGACGGATGCCTGAGGCCAGGGCTAGGGATGTCCCTCCTTTATGGGGGCTGGGGGCAGCTGTTCTCTGCAGACCAGGGCAATAGGCAGCCCCTCCTGCCCTCTCTTCCCCTCCCCTTCCTGGCTCTGCCTTCTACCTCTTTCTAGTTGAAAGTGGTCAGCTGGGCTTCCCGGGCCCTTCCCAGGAGCAGGCAATCTCTTCTGAGGACAAGACTGAGGAGGAAACCAAGTCGCTCTGCCCTTGTTTTCCTGGGGGCTTGGCTGGCCTGGACTGTCCAGGAGTTACCTGGGATCCAGGCAGGCTGATGGGTAGGGAGAAGCAGGCGATTACTGAGCACCTCTGTGTGCCAGAAACTGTCCCCAAGCTTCTACTCTCCAGGTTCCTTTTCACCCATTTAGAGAAAGGGAGATGGGAGAAAGAGATCGCATAGCTTAGAGGGTGAGAGAGGCAGAGACTTGGAGGAACTCTCTCTGGGGGCGAGGAGCCATGGGGCCCAGACCCAGGGTCTTACAGGACCCAAAGAGGTGGCCCATGAGACTGGCCCTATGGTGAGTAGTTTGGTGGTTTGAATCTGGTGCAGGGATTGGAGAAGAAATGTATACTTGGCTTTCAGCCCCAGAGCTGGATGGACCTTGACTGCTTAGTGGCCAGGGCTAGGGATCACGAGGAGGAAATCCTGTCTAACTTTGTCTGGAGTGCAGGTGGGAAGCAAGGCCTGGGGCCCCCCACCATTCCTCCATTTTTCTCCCCTTTTCTCAGTCCCATTTTATCCTCGGCCAGCCTGGCATCTAAATGGTCAGCCATGCAGGGCCTGTGTGCTGGAGAAAGAGATGGCTGCTTGTGAGGAGGACATCCAAGGGAAACAGGTACCTGTGAAGCAGGAGGGACAGGTGGGGGGGGGCAGCCGTGACAAATGATACACATGACCCCACAGGTGAGAGCTCCCTGCTCCTCTGGGATTAACCACATGGTCACTCGGCAGAGCAGGGAGTGGCCTCCTGAGACCCTGTCCACAGGGATAGGACTTAGAGACTTGGGTGTGCTGGGGAGCCCTCAGGCTGCAGGCTTGGCCCAGAGCTCATCCTTGTGCATGGGAAGGAGATGGTGACCCTCAGGGTACCTCAGGATGTAGTGGAGGTGATGGAGACCCAGAAGTTGCTCAGGTCTACCTGGCTGGGAGACTCACATGCCTCTCAAGCCCAGGCTGAATGGAAAGTCTCAAGCTACCACCACAGACAGTGACCCCTACCACCCCTGCAGCATGTGTCCTCTCTGGGGAGGGACCCTTTCTGTCTGCCTCTTCGGTGCTGGCTGAGCCGAGAGAGCACATCGCTCCACATGGTCACAGATGGGCTGGGACGGGCTGGGGGAGGTGCAGTGAGTAAAGGGCTGAGAGCAGTGGGCTGTCTGTCACCAAGGGGAGAGCAGTGCAGAGCTTCCCCTGTCACGAGAAAGGCCACTTCATACATGCCCCAGGGCCCAGGACTGAACCTGACCCTCCTGAACATCTAAGGAGATGCCCCCTGCCGAGGCGTGTGTCGGGGCTCAGTGGGATGGAGAGGGCCCCTGCCACAGAGACCTGGCAGGACGGGAACAGGATCAAGGTTTCCTCCCTAGCTGGGAGACTAGTGTCAGTCTTGCCACTGTCCCGTGCCTCAGTTTCCCCATCCTGGCTAAGCAGCCTACCTCACAGGGCTATTGACAAGGACCTGAGGCAAACCAAGGTAAGAAGTGGAGTTCCAAAGTGGGGAGGGTGGTTCCTCACCTCCATCCCGCCTGGACCCTGGGCTCCCTGCCTTCTCTCTAGCTACAGAGCCATCTCTTTGAGGGCCACGAACAAGGCTCTTGAGTTGGGGCCTGTGGGCCAGGCAGGACTGCAGTCGTGGAGAATTTTCTGTGGTTAGTGGCACCTTCTGCTCCCAACAGCCCCTCAGGTGAACTGGACACACCTGAGGGTGCAGGCTTCTCCCATGAATGACAGAAACACCTCCAAAGTGGCCTTCCCAAAGGGCAGCTGGTCATGTCTTTGGACTGTTGGCTTTCTCCAGCTTGGACAGCCAGAGAGTTGAACTGGCACAAATCAGTAGGATGTGTGGGGCCCATCCCAGCCCAGCCCAGCTCCACTGTGTGACCTTGGAGAAGCTTCTGCTCTCTGGGCTTCTGTTACTCCTCTGTTGGGTGGCCCAAATCCTTGCAGCTTCAGAGTCTAGAAGACCTTCTGGCATAGGAAGAAGGGACAGAGGGAGGTATGGGGTCTCTGGCTCTAGACATCTCCTTCCTGAATGCTGCCCTCAGTGGCCTGCTGTTCTACCTCCTTATTTGGGGACACCAGGAAAACACTTTGAGTCTGGGACTCTGGGGATATGAGGATCACTGAGAATTTAGCCAAGGACCTAGCACAGGCTGCTTCTGGCCAGAGCCCCTGGAAATGGAGACGCGCTCCTCCTCACACGCATTGAGTAGGGGCAGTTTCTCCTTCAACATAGCCAGTGTCTGCCCAGGGGCCAGGGCGGGCACCAGCACACGGGAAAGCCTCCAGGGGCCCCACCCTCCCAGCCCTCACCGGAAACTGCCAAATCAAAACTTTGTGCCACTCACTTCCTCTCGCATCATTTGGGTTTCAGAAGCTTATTTAAAAAGGAAAGCCAGCCAGCCAGCCTGCCTGCCCAAGGGTACAAAGCCTTCTCCAGCAGGCTGGCCCCCAGAGCTCTCGGCCCCTGTGCCTCACTCGCACCCACAGCCTGTGCCCCATCTCCTGTGTGCAGTTGGTTTTGTGCATGCTTCCTCCATTCTAGGCTCCTTATCCAGACCCACAAGGGTTTTCAACAAAAGAAACACATGACAAGGGTTTCACATCTTTCATGACGCACCCCTCCAGCCCCACTGCCTGGCTCAGTTCCTGGGCACTAATCAGCACCTATGAAGCATTTGTTGACTGGTGTAGGAAAGAGAGAAGAAAAGAACGAACCTCCTTGGTTTTGTGAGGGAAGCCCCACCAGGCTGCTTTTGAGGCAGGGACAGGCTGCAACCCAGACACTGTCAGAGGCAGTGTGGACTCAGAAAGCTGTCCTGGAGAGGCTGCACCTTGACTCTGATATAGACAGGACCTCGGGGCCAAGTGCAAGCTGAGTGCCCATGCTGTGAAAGCACAGGGCTTGGAGCCCAGGAGTTGCACACCAGTCTGGACTCTGGAGCAGCCAAGTGAGAATCAGGTGGGCAGACGCCACTTTCCACATGCAGGTCTCTAAACCCTGCAACGCAGGGCCTGATGCGGCTTCCTCAGCACAGCAAGAGCTTGCTCTTGGCATTGGCAGTGTGTGTGTGCGGGGTGGGGGCTGGTGTTTTTGAGGAGGAGGAGAAGTTGCAGAGATAGAAGAAATCCTGAAATGACAGACAGTGGGACAGCTGTGGCCTGAACTTGGTGTTCTCTCTCCTCGGATATGGATGTATTAATTTCCATAAATGCTAATAGCCCATTTCCCCAAGAGCTATTACTTATGTCATCTTCCTTTGGATACGGTTCAACGCAGGGCAGACAAATGAAAGGGAGGAAAAGGAACCTCCATCGGCAGGCCCACTCCCCAACCCTCTCCCAACCAGGCAGCTCAGGTCTGGTTCCTAAGGTGGCCCTGCCAACTGCAGGATCAAGATCCCCTGCCTCCAGCCCCACAGCCAGGTCCCTATCACGACGGGAAGCAAAGAAAGTTACCAACCCCAAAAATGCTGAATCACAAAGTGAGGCTGAGCAGGAAAGTGGGGGTGGGGTGGGGAGGGAGATGGTGGCCAGAGAGGAGGGTGCCCCAGGGCTTCCCACCTGGAGCCACCCAGAATGCTCTAGTCAAAGTGTAGCCCCTACAGGAGCCCCCAGGACAAATGCCCAGAAACTCAGGGATGCGCCAGGATGCGCCAGGATGGGCGGGTGGGAAAGTGGGAAGGTGGGCAGGTACACCCGGCTGCTGCTACTGCAGCAGGAAGCGGTGCAGCAGCTGGGTCTCTGCATCCCGAAGGAGCAGCAGCAGGTAGGGAGGTGGAGAAGTGCTTTATGCCAGGGTCTGGGCATAAGGGAGAAGCTGGAGAGAGACGGGGGTGGGAGAGTGGGGGTGTCAGTAGCCCCAGGAACTGGTGCAGGAAAGGAGTGTCAAGGTCCCCGGGAGCAGGGCAACATGGAGAGAGAGCGCCCACGGGAGAGGTCGGAGGGGCAGAGAGCAGGATGGGAGGGAGGATGGGGACTAGCACCAGAGGGACACGGGGGCACGCGGGGAGGACGAAGGATGAATCTTGCGGAGCTACGAGGGGAAGCAAAGAGGGCGACGAGACCAGGAGGGCTCCGATGGGGCTGCGCAGAGGCCGGAGAGGGGACGGGAGGAGGATGGGGGGAAGGGGAGGAGAGGCTGCGGGCCAGGAGAGGACAGAGATGTGGGGGTCAGGTGCACCGCGTGATGCTGTAGAAGGATGAAGTTTGGGGTAAGGGTCGGGGGTGCGAGCTGAAAGGTCAGGCAGGTTGACTGGGAAGGAAAGAGACGATGGGATGGGGGGAAGGGAGGCAGTGGCGGAGGTGAAGAGACTGGGGAGGAGGTGAGACAGCCTTGGGGACAGGGACGCAGGGCCGGGTAGGAGATGGAGAAAGGACGGCGGTGCATGCCGCAGCTCTCCCGGCGCAGGTCCAGGTAAAGCGCAGCCCTCCGGGGTCTCCCCCTGTACTCACCTGGGGGCTCCAGCTCCGGATCCTGCGCCCCACTCCGGATCTTCCTTCCCGCCCTGCCCCTGCGACTTTAGCACCCTCGAATCCCGCTTGCTCCGGCAGGTTCCGCTCGCAGCATCTTCACCTCGTGGGACGCCCGGGGCCACGCCTCTTCCAGATTGTCATTGGCTGGATTTCACGCCAGTCACATTCCCATTGGCTGAGGGCTTGTCAGCCATGCAAATTAGGACGGGCCCGCCGCCTCGCCAATTGGCTGGCGTTTGTCGAGCGTATACCCTTGACTTGGGCTCTGATTGGCCCCGAGGCCCTGACGACGAAAGGGAGGCGAGGCGGGCTTTTGGCCCGGGCCTGCAGCGAGCCACCTTCCGAGGCTCCTCCCGCCGGTGGCTGCAGACAGGGCGCGCCCTTCGGCCGGTTCTCGGCTTGCAAGGCCTGCGGCTCCACTGGGCACCCGGCTTCTGGGTCCGTCGTAGGGAAACTTCCTCGAAAGCGTGGGCCTAGTCGCTCTCGGCGCGGTTGCTGGCCTGTCTCCTAGGTAACGCTGCCCGCGGAGGGCGGAACCATGGGAGCCAGCGCCGCGGGGGAGGTTGGACGCGGCCTAGAGGCGCGGTTGGCAGCAGAGCCGGCTCGGGTCACGCAGCCTGGAGGTGGGATAGTCCATTCCGCCTCTACGTGGGGACCTAGTGCCTATGGAGTGCGGCGGTGATCGCGGCGCGGGGCTGTACCTGCGGAATCCTCACCTCTCACCCCCGTCTGGCCACTTGGTGCGGCCTGGCCGTCAGTGCCGTTGGGCGTCACGGGCTCCTTTGTGCTTGCCCTTTGCCCTCTGCCCCCTGCCCCTCGCCCCCCGCCCCCCTGGCGCTCCGGTGGAAACGAGGACTGTGCCGATCGCCTAAACCCCCGCAGGCACCTTCCCGCGGGCTCCCGCTCGGTGGCTTCTGCGTCCGGCTGTGCAGCTCTGGCCGACCCTTCCCTGGTGGTGGTCGTGCAACTCTGCGGCCCTCGATGTGCCCGCGAGGCTCTGCCCTTGGGCAGCTGCAGCCTTCTCTCCCCTTTCCTGCTGCCGCACCTCCAGGCTGGCCGGAACACGCGCTGCCCACTGTCCATCCCCACTGGCGCCGGGCTGCCCCCCCGCCCCGTGGGTCTCACCTGGGATCTCTTCGTGCCCGGCTTCCTAAAAGACCTCTGGATTCTGTCTCCCGAGTGTTGGGAAGGAGTATTTTCGGTGACGGTGGGCAGTGCCTTCTGGTCCTAGGTCTCCTTGAGTCTTTCCTGTGCAGTCTTCCTAGGTTACAGCTGTGCCTTTTGTGTGCTGATGTGGGTCCTGTCTCTGTGTGGCTCCTCTCTCCGTTGCACGGAGGCGATGAGCATGTCTTCTGTGTTCAGGACCCATTCTCCTGGGCTTAACACAGGGTCGGTACTGGTAGAATGTCACAGAGTGAGGGAATTCCAGGCAGTGCTTAATCAAACTTCTGCTTCCCGGAGAGCTCCCCGAGGCGCCTACGTCTCAGGTATTCCACTCCGTCCTTCACTTCTGGAAAGCAGGCTTCCCTGTGCCTGACAGAACCTCCCCACCTCCCGCCCCATCTTTTCCCTGGGAAAGTCTGCCTGTGGGACTTCGGTCTTCCTAGCCCACCCTTCTCCCCTCCACCCCCGACCAGGTTAGGCTCATATTCCCTGTGCTGCCCAGGCTCACCCTCTCGCCTTTCTCCCCCTCTGGATTCCTGGATTCTGGAAGACTGGGCATTCCTATGTGCTGGAACTTAGTAGGTTCTTGATAAACATTTGTTGAATAGAGCTGCAGAAAGAAAGGCTTCAGGGAGACTTTGAAGCCCACATTTTGTACATTGGGAACAGGCAGGAGGGTGAGAGTCTTTCCTGAACGTGTAGAGGAGGGGGACAGAGGATTAGCTGGGTCCCTGGTCCTCCAGTGCTCTCCCCACCGCTGTTCTTCTTCCTGCTCTCCTGGCTGTCTCCATGGGTGGGTCGGTGAGGGTTGGTTGTAATGGTCTTAGGTTTATCAGCGCTGGTCTGAGCCTCAGTTTCCTCATCTGTAAGATGGGGATGGTGATGATGCTTACTGTACGGAGCAGTTGGAGTTAATTTGAAAGAGTTGTCTTCAAGCTCTGAGATTCTTTCTTCTGCCTGGCCTAGCCCATTCTTAAAACTTTCTACTGTGTTTTGTATTTCCCTAAGTGAATTTTTCATTACCAGGAGTTCTATGTTTTTTTAATATGCCATTCTCTTTAGTGAATTTTTCATTCATTTCCTGAATTGTTTTTCTGGTTTCTCTGAGTTGGTTTTCCATTTTCTCTTGGATTTCATTACAATCCTTATTTGGAATTCTTTATTTATTTATTTTACATATACATGTGTTTATTAGGTTTCCATTTTTTGCCTTCACAAAATTGAAAAGGCTTAAAATTTAATAACAATAACAATGTTTAAGATAAGGACTAGAAACAAAAACCTCGTAAGGAACGAACTAACATAAATACATTCAGAAAAGAAATCAGATGATTGCTGCATCAAAATATTAAGCAATAATAATAATAATAATGCAAGGACAGTGACCTTCACATTGTCAAATAAGAGTATGTCTATTATAGAATGCTTTGACTCTGAGATTCAGTATGGAGTCATCAGTTAACTTCTTCTTATTTTTATTTTAAGTCTCAAAAATAGACAACTAATATTTATAAATAAAAGTGAAAGATAATTTCAAAGAACAGATCGTGCAAATCTTATAGACAATAGAAAAAGAAGAAATACTTCAAAATCATTCTACTCGATCTGTATATACCTGATATTAAAATCGGAGAAAATATATTATTATAAAGGGGAAATTACAAACATATTTCACTTATAAATGAGGATGCAATGTCCTAAACAACATATTAACAAGTTGAATTAAAAATTAATGTTTGAGTAATGCACTTTGGTCAAAATTAAATCCAATTTATGTGAGAATTAGTCACTATTTTCTTTTCTTGTGTTGCTTTTATTTGGAATTCTTTATCTGGAGCGCCATAAAGGCTGATGTGTTTCCTTTCTCTTTTCCCCTGGGTGAGCCCCTAGTGCCTTTTTCTAGTGTGCAGAGCTTGGAACCCTCCTGGTTTTTTCCTCCTACTGTTTATTTGGCCCCAAGGCCCTACTGCCCTTCATCCATGGATTTTCTGTTACTATTTAATCATTCAAAGATTGGACCTGTAATGGGTGAGAGTAGGGTGGAGAGCCGTGAGGGCCAGATGGAGGGCCCTCACTGGTCTGTGAGGTGGGGGAGAGAAGTGAGCCCTGGAGCTGTCTGGCCCCCTCCCTCAGGTGTCTCAGGTGTCACCTAGCCCTTGGTGGCCCCTCAGACAGATGTCCTGCCTCTACCTTCTGAGCCTCAGGATGTCCATGTGGGTGGCAGCTCTTTTCAGAGAGGATGCCTTTCTGTCCTGTGTGTGCCCTGCTGGCACAGTGGGTCACACTGGGTTAATGTGTACCCCCTTGAGCTTGTAAGTTCTTTAGCAGTGTCTCCTACCACAGCTGTGTGGGACACCAGGTCCGCAGACACCCAGGGAGGAGAGAAGGTGGCCCTGGTTCAGGAGTCAGGCATGCGAGGAGAGCAGACAGAGTGGACGCTGTCCTGCGGGCGCCATGTCAGGAGGGCTTCCCCCAGCAATGCCCCTCTGGGTCCATCATGATGCCTGTTGTAAGAATACACTTCCCAATTTTATAATGAAAGTCAACAGGAAAACATTTCTCTGAAAAAAAAAAGTTGAGCGTTGGCTTTACTTGAGGTTTGATTTGATTTTGTGAGTATTTATTGTGTTCTGGTGGCGAGTTGGGTACCAGTGACACGGGAGGAATAAGCCCCCCTTCAGGAAGGGATTGGCTGGTGAGCAGGTCAACACAAGGCATGTGACTTGTGCCGGCTCCAAAGGAAGCACAGTGTCAAGGAACATCGGGAAGCCGTCCCAGAGGAGGTGGCACTATGACTTCTATAATAACATCCCATAAACTTGGTGGCTTAAAAGAACTCAAATGTACTCTTTTTCAGCTCTGGAGGGCAGAAGTCCAAACTCAACTTCCCCTGGACTGGCCTCTGCCCTAGCCTCTCCCTGTGGTGGCCGAATGGCCCCTGGGGCTCCAGGCTTGCATGGTCTGGGCAGTTCTGCACATTGGAGAAGACAGCCTGGGCGCAGGTCCCTCAGGGAAGGCCTGAGTGGCTCCACGTGGGTCTCCCGTTCCTCTCTGAGACCATCACTGCAGGCCTCTGGCCTGAATTTGGGAGCGGCCCTTCTCACATATGAAATTGGGTGAGAGTCTTTCCACAAAGCAAGGGATATTGAACAGAGAAAAATAACCCACAAAACAACACAAAACAAACCAGTGCAAGTGAGGGTGTGTCTGGCCCACAGTGGGTGCATTCCAGGTGAGGACTAGCCCCTGAGATAGGAGTACCCTAGGCTGGCTCGTTGTGCCCTCTCTAGTCCCATGTGTAGCTGTAGCATGGAGATGGTGACTTGTTACACTAGCACTGCTCAAAGTTTTGGGTCTCAGACCCTTTGACTCTTTAAAATTGAAGGCTCCAAGAACTTTTGTTTATATGAGTTAGAGCTATCAATGTTTACAATACAGAAATTTGAAACTGAGAAATGCCAAAAATGTTATTAAGGTATTTAAAAGTAACAATAACCCTATTACATGTTAGCATAAAAAATAATTTTTTAATGAAAACCAACTATGTTTTCCAAAATAAAAACGTGAGAAGAGGGGTTGTCCTGTGGTTCTGCGTCTGTCTTCACTGTCTGGGGTCATAGGGACAGCTGGGTTCGCCCACCTGCTTCTGCGTTCCACCCGTGGGGATGTGTTACTTTGATTGAAGTGTTCGCAGGACATCCGTCCACATCCAGATGGGCGGAGCCTCTTAGATAACTGGATATTTGATGGTACATCTTAACTCCATAAGAACTAGTTTCTTAAAGATTTGTTTCAAAGTGGAGGCTTCCATCAATGAACTTTTTACACTCTGACACTAAAATCCTTTGATCTGTTGTACTGTGGACAGACCTTTTATTCTTGCAGGATTTTGTATCATTATGCCTTGTTCATTTGGAAAATACTGGTTCACTGAGTCACGCAGACCTTCCAGGTATCAACATAGTTAACCAGTGCAGGCTCAGGAGATCACATTCATTTTGTTACCGCCCATCTCATAGGAAAGCCTTGAATCTGTCAGGCTCACGGTGAAGGATACAAATGTTCTCAGTTCTAATTTTTGCTTAAAAACTGCATTTTTATCACAGTTTTCCTTGAAGTGACATGCTGACTCCATTCGTGTCTGGAAATGTCTGCCAAGTACCCAAGTCAGAATATCCATAGCTTGTCTGTCGGTCATACTTTTTAGTGAAAATGGTGTTGGCGAATGAAAAAAAGTGGTCCTTTCAGCTTGTACACCAGCAGTGGCCGCAGGGAAAGTCCCGCCAGGGCAGTTGGCTGTCGGGGTGATGCTGAGGCCTCCGGAGCCTTACCCACGGGTGCTGTGCTCTACCAGTGCAGATGTCGTCATGGTGAAATAGACTGGTAACATCTGGGTATTAATGAAAATAGTTTTGGCCTTGTGGAGCCCCTGACAGGATCTCTCTGGACCTCAGGGATTTGGGAAGGCCACCTAGAGAACCGATACCTTAGAAGACCAGACCCATGGCGTTTTCTCCTTGTGTATCATCATAGCGTACAGAATGCAGCCTCTTCCCGATGCCAAGATCTTAGGATTCTGTGTCAGTGGAAAAGATGTCTAGGGAAAGTTCAGATCCCTGCGTGCCTGGAAGGGAGCAGATAATACCTGTTTTAGGCTGGGTCACTAAAGCTGGTAACACTTGAAACCAGTCCCCAAATGGCTTTAGTAACAAAAGACTTTATCCATGTAGCTAAGGTGTCCTGGGGCGACTGGCTTTAGGGTGTCCTACAGCCAGGGCTCTAATGAGGACATTTCTTCTCCACTGTTTTGGCCCCCTCCAAGATAGTGCCACACCAGGGCTGGGTTTCAGCTGCCACTCATACCTGGTGCAGTACTCAACCTACACAGCTGTACAGAGCAGCCCTGTGTGTACCCACCTAGATTAGCCTCCAAGACCAGAGTAGTCACACTCTGGTTGGTCCATGAAGGCAGGTGGAGGCTTCTCCAGAGCAAGGGGCAGACAGCCTGTGCAGCCAGCAGTGCAGTCTGCTGTGCTGGGGTTTGGAGTGGGATTGCCCAATGTGCTTTTAGGGGTGGAGATTTTTCTGGGATTCAGTGGGATGCCAAAAACTTTCAGAATTGCTCTGATCACTGTGGCCCTTATGAGTTTTTCCTTCATCTTTTAATCATAAATGGTGCAGATAGTCCGGAGGCCCATGGGATTCTCAGACGGCAGAATGAATGACTGGCACAGGGTCTTTGCCCAAAACGCGCTCGTCCCACCGCATCCGCACAGAGCACGCCAGCTTCTGAAGGAATCCACAGCATTCCAGTGTGTCCTGAAGTGGCTTGATGGGCTGATAATTAAGCAGGTAATGAAATTTGCCGTTTATTATCAAAAGCACATCATTACTGCTTTCGCCTGTGACCAGGCTTCCAGTTAACATGGGTCCCTAACTTACGACTGCTCAACTTAGGGTTGTTTGCTTGTACTCATACAAGCATTCTGTTTTTTTCTCTCTGTGCAGTAGTCAATAAATCACTGAGCCATTTAGCACTTCATTATAAAGTAGGCTTGGTGTTAGGTGGTTTTGCCCATGTCAGCTGATGTAAGTGTTCCAAGCACATCTAAGGCAGGTGGGGCTAAGCGGTGGTGCTCAGCAGGCTTGGTGTCGTGAGTGCATCTTTGACTTACAGTATTTCCAGCTTACCAGGGGTTTTATTGGATGGAACCCCATCATCAGGTGAGGAGCATCTGTATTGATTTCCACTTGATCTGCTTGCATCCTACCACTGTACCCATTACCTTGGGCCTTGGCAGTAGTCAGAGGCAAAGTGGCCCATCAGCAAAGAGAATATGCGATTCAGCGACTTGGTCAGCACTTTTGACTCTGGGTAAGGGATTCTTTCTGCCTACAGTGGAGCAATTTACAAACACAAATGACCTGCTTTCCCTCAGTTTGGAAGTCAACACAGGGAAAAAGACAAATCACATCTGGGTATTATAAAGATAGTTTTGCCCTTGTGGAGCCCCTGCCAGGATCTCTCTGAACTTAGGGGCTTAGGGACCACACCTAGAGAAGTGCCATCTTGAAGGACCTGGTGAGCCCGGCGGCCTGGGGCGAGGCTGCACATGGCCTGCCTTCAGTGAGGACAGCAGGGGCTGAGCCTGGGGCTTCCTGCTGGCCCCAGGTGTGGCTGCGTGTGCCTCTGCCCTCGTGGCTCCACATCCATCTGCGCCCTCAGCTGTCAGGAGCTGCTGGACAAGCTCATGGTTCCGTGCCGCTGCCCAAAGAATGCCCACGTGATTGAACTGGCCCATGGTGCACAAGGAGGACCCAGTCCTGCTGGTGTAAACATGTGGCTCCTTGCGGGTTCTGGTTTGGCAAGACTGTTCCTCTGCCGCTGCTGGGGTAGTATTTGCATGTGTTCAAGCTGTTGGCATGCTTGGTCTCGGAATAATGTGCTGCTGTTGCATCACTTCTGTCCTGCATCTTCTAGTCCCAAACCCTCTGACTGAGCACCGACTGCATCCTTGCCACCAAGTTAGGGACTGTGGTGGCTACTGTGTCATAGCTTTACTTCCTACTCTTGTGCTACTGCACTTGGTCCTTACCAGAGCACTGTGGAGTAGGTGCCATTGTCCCCACGTTGTACAGAAGCAGAACAGAGCCCGAGAGGAGTGGAGTCAGCTGCCCGGGTGACACAGCTCTGGGTGGCTGCTGCCCAGCCTGGCTCTGTGGAGTCAGCTGCCTGGGTGATACAGCTCTGGGTGGCCGCTGCCCAGCCTGGCTCCACTGCCTTTTAGTAGCTCCCAAGGTAGTTGATGGCACTTCCTTCTTTCCTAGGAATTTTATGAAGGACATTTTATTGTTTTATTTTTGAAAAGATAATCGTATAGTTCAAAGTTGACAAGGATACACAGGGAGAGGGAAATTGTTTCATAGTGTCTCTAAGGCAACAGGGTTAGTTATTTTTGTGTAACTTTCCAGAAATTCTAAGCAAATACAGCAAGTAAATATACCTATGTGTATTTTTCCTTTTTAAATATATAAATGACACTTACTACTGTGTTTAAATATATAAATGGCACTTACTACTATGTTTAAATATATAAATGGCACTTACTACTGTGTTTCCCCCAAAATAAGACCTACCCCAAAAATAAGCCCTAGCAGGTTTTCTGTGCATTTGTTAAATATAAGCCCTACCCTGATAATAAGACCTAGTGATGGGCATGGCTATGCAGATATGCATTTACCATGGAGAGGAAGACATCTCCTGAAAATAAGCCCTAGTGTGTCATCTTGTGAAAATATAAATATAAGACAGTGTCTTATTTTTGGGGAAACATGGTAGATAGGTAGATACTGCTACTATGTATAACCTCAGTCCTATAATTTTTTTCATGTACATATACATGTGTGTCTGTAGAATCATTCCTGCAAGTAGAATTTTTGATTTAAAGTCGTGTGTTAAAAGTGTCACTTAAGACCCAATTACATGTCATTAAGAAAAAGTACACTTTAAACGAAAATATTCAGGTTGAAAGCAAAAAGATGGAAACAATGTACCATGTAAATACTGAGCGTGAGAGAACTCTGTGTCTGTGCTGGTGTCAAAGTAGATTTCCAAGTGAACAGTGTTACCAGAGATAAAAAGGTGTTTCACAGAGGTGATGATAATCGGGAAAGCATCAGATCCCTAGGTGTGGATGCGCCTGTGTGGGGCCACCAGGACCAACCTCCCAGGCTCGAAGCTTCTCTAAGGGGACTCGGGCGACGCAGCATATCCTTATACTCGCAGCCAAGATTGATGGCGGCTAAAGCGCACCGAGCAGGATCAGCAAAGGGAATAGGCACGCTGGGAGAAGCACAAGCTTCCAGGGCCCCTCTCCCAGGGGAGCCACACAGCAGGCGTTTACTTTCTCAGCAGTGGACTGTGAGGACGCCGTGTGAAATGCTGCCTACCAAATGCTGTGCGCCAAAATTCCAGACACCCAGAGGGGAGACAGGTGTTCAGCATAAGCCAAGTTTATAAACACTTTGGGCGTAGTAAGCCATTCCTACAAGGTAGGTGTAGGAACACCCCCCCGCCCCCCCAAAGGAACTAAGTTCTCCTTAGACTGGGAAATCTAAGTTTCCAGTCTTCAGCCGAGGATCTTTCATAGCCTAGCAGTGAGGTCTGTTGTGCTAACTCCTGTATATAGCACTCAATGACAAGGCTTCTAATATGTGAAACAAAATTGGGTGAAAACTAAAGAGAACTGTATTCAGATTCACAGTCATAGTTGGATGGCTTGGCGCCTGTAGCTCAGGGGTTAGGATGCTGGCCACATGCACCAGGGCTGGTGGGTTTGAACCTGGCCTGGGCCTGCTAAACAATAATGACAACAACAACAAAATAGCTGGGCGTTATGGTGGGTGCCTGTAGTCCCAGCTACTTGGGAGGCTGAGGCAAGAGAATCGCTTAAGCCCAAGAGTTTTAAGTTGCTATGAGCTGTGATGCCATGGCACTCTACTGAGGGCGACATAGTGAGATTTGTCTCAGAAGAAAACCCCCCAAAAACATAGTCATAGTTGGAGACTTTTAACTGTCCTTTCTTAATAATTGATGGAAAAAATAGACTAAAAAACTCCTAAGGATTTGGAAGATCTGAACACTACCCTGAACTCTTGACATCTCTTAAACACTATTTAATTCAATTTGATATTTTTTTGGCACTTATTCTGGGGACACAAAGTGGCTCTGCCCCCTGTCCTGTCTTCACAAAGCTCTCCGTGGAAACTCATTCACATAGAATTGCTTACAAAGTAGTGTAAGGTTAGGGTCTGGCCTGGGAAGAAGTCTCAGGCAGCAGTAGCTGAGCTACTGGGAGCTCAGCTTTGGGAGGTGGGCGGCTTGGCTGGTGATTAACTTCTGAGATGACGACAGGGAAGAGAAGCTGGCTGATGCTGGAGCCCTGGGCAGTCCTCGCACTGAGGATCTATATGTATTGAGGAGCTGCCTGTGCAAGGCCTCTGCTCGGCCCAAGGGATAGGGCAGGGAACAGAGTGTTCTAGGTTCACATCCTTGCAGAGCTCATGCTCTAGCTGGGGGCACAGACAGCCAGCATGTAAATTTTGATGATTGCCCTGGGGAAAGGTCAATGGGGCCTGGGGTGGGTCTGGATGACAGCAACTGGAAGGATCCTGGATGTCAGAGGCGAGTGAGGACCCTGGAGGAGGCAGTGGCCAGCGTGGAGGGGCAGGCGTGGGAAGGGGACAGATAGACAAGTGAGGCTGCTCCCCCAGACCTGCGCCTCCTCCTCCTCCCTGTCCCTATGGATGACCTACCTCTGTCCTGGTTGCTTCACAGAGACGAGGGAGTCAGCACGAGCCTGCCAGGGCCGGGTAAAGGCGAGTTTACCCCTGTCCTTCCTGCTCCTCTCCCCTCAGGTCGCACAGCCCAGCCTTGGTGACAGAGCCCAGGTGTGCACGCGCCCTGTCACCCCCACTGCCCTGCCCACTCTGGCCTGGATGGTGGAGCAGCTCCTGCTCCCTCTCCTCCCCCGAAGTCTCATCTCCACATGGAATCTCAGAACCCCGCGTTGGCTCCTGCTGTCTCTACCTGTAGTCTATCCTGGCTCCCCTTGATTTGGGAGTAAGAGCCCAGCCTGTCCCCTTGCTGGGGGCCTGCAGGAGCAGCAGTTGTGCCTCTCATCCCACCTGTCTTCCCACGCTCAGCCTGCTGCAGTTGGGTGGGTTTTCTGTTTGTACAGAATGTCGCTGGGACTGGTTCTGTTTAGGCATGGTGAGGCCAGCAGATCAGGAGATGACAACCATTGAACGCAGGAGGAGGGGGCAGGCCACACCATGCAGGCCCCACAGGGTCATTCAAGAGGCAGAGGGAGAGAGGGGAAGCCTGGCAGGGCCTTCACTGTGCTGAGGTGGGGAAGCAGCTGGCAGGCTTGGGACTGACTAGTGTGTGTAATTTCAGTGGCCTCTGGGATGTAGAAATAGCCCCTCGTGCCTGGCTCTTGACCTTGAGACTACTGGGGCAGAGGATACTGTCTCCTGCAGTGTAAGAGCCAGATAGAGGGGCAGGTAGATGTGGGCGCTGGATTGGTTGGTTTACACATGAAAGATGGCTGGGTGGGCAGGACATGTGCTGTCCCTAGGACGTAGCTAACTCTGGGGCACAGTCTGTCTCGTCAGAAGCCCTAGCTGCCAGAGCATAGGGAATACAGAAATAAGAAATATAGCTCATAGCTAAATACAGTTGCCGTACCTCTCACAGCTCCTGCCACCCCTGCTCTTCTGCCAGGACCTTGGAGTTGGAGGCTCCCACCTGGCTCACATGCCCCAGCTGCCCCGTGGTTCTCCTGCTGCTCCGAGTTCTCTGCTCCAGCACCTCCCTGACCCTCCTTTCTGAACTGGTGGGCCCACCCATCTCTCCCCTCCTTGTTTATCCTGCAAGCTCCATAAGGGCAGAGATTGCATCTCTTTTGTCCCCTGTTGAATCCCTAGTGCCCGGACCTGTGCCTGGCACAGAGTCAATACCCAGAGTAGACCTTTAGTTAGTGTTTGCTAAGTGAATGAAAGAAAGGCAGAAACTCTTTGTCTCAGGTAAGAACTGTGACAGGGCTAGTCCTCACCAGTGACAAGAACTGAAGGCTAAAACAGAAGCGAACTGTGAGTAGTAGAGCTGAGGGAGGGGCCTTGTCTGCCCTTTCGGGCTGCTTTGTTCTGTGTTTGCATCTGTTTCTCAGTCCTCAGAGATCTGCTTTTCCTTTGCTGACTCTGCCCCAAGATAATTCTGGAAATTTGAGGATTAGAGTTTCTGGTTTCTGGTTCTATCAGGAAGAACTCACTTGGTTGCAGATGATAAAAAACACATCAAAATGGCTTAAGGCAGAGTTGATTTGTTAAGTCACCCAGCAGACAAAGCCACAGGTAGCATCAGTTTCAGGTGTGGGACAGAGTGGCTGCCAGCAGCTCCCGGCCTGCACTCTGCAGGCACGTCTGGTGTCTCATAGGCTGTGGGTGTCTTGAGCCTGTGTCTGTCTAGGGGACTTCAACGTTCTAACTGGCACTTGGTTTGCTGCCCCACTAAGACCAGTAGCCGTGGCTGAGGAACAGGAAATTGGGCAGCTGATGCCTGAGCAAGTGGGTTGGAAGCCAGGGCTCAGTGTCTGCCTGGTGGTGCTCAGTGACTGTGGATGGCTCTTGACACAGGGCGTGTCATGGCTGCTTCCTGCTGTCTCCTAGGGTATGCTGGAGGCGCTGTCAGAAGTTGGATGTCATCTGCGGGTGTCTTTCTTTGATGTCACCTACCGGCACTTCTTCGGGAGGACGTGGAAAACTGCAGTGAAGCCGATGGAGCAGCTCTCGAGGCCACTGCCCAGGGTTGTCTTCAATGAGGTAGGTCCTGGCAGCAGGGACAGGTGTGCAAGGTCCCGTGTGCAGTGCAGCCCAGACGACGAGGCCTCACCCCGAGAGCACCAGGGCGCCTCTGGCCTGTGGGAGCATCACGCTTGTTGTAGTGCAGGGTGCTTTGTTTCCAAACAAAATGTTAGGTGGGAGCCACATGTCCTACACAGCTGAGTGTGTGCTGCTCGGTTGGAGAGGGACAGAGGGTCGTCACCTTCAGGGGGTCTTGGGACTCTTGGGGCCACCCCCGTCCCTTCCTCTGTCCTCCTCTCCCCTCCCCTCCTCTCTCATCCCTTCCTCTCTCATCCCTTCCTCTCTCCTCCTCTCCCTACCTCCCCCCTCTCC